GTCATCTACCCTACTGATTGATTGTTCATAATATCAACCACTGGATATTTTATGCAGACTCAGTTACGGTAGAAGTTGTCAACACCGGCATAAAATCCCAGTCTTGTCTGTGGCTAGAATTTATCACCATTTAAAAGCTCTGCAATCCAGCATGTCAATTCCAGATCTTGGCATGAAATAAGCCACTCGAATAGGTGTTTATACAATAATCAGTGCTGTCTAATCCGGCGCTTGGCGGGGAGTCGGTCTGATGTGTATCATCACCAATTGATCGGGCGTGGAAATAACAAGGGGTTGTGTGCAGCCATCACACGTTAAGTAGCAACATGGTTGCTGACAAAGATAATTTTATCATTGTTCAGTATGGTGAATAAAAGTGATTATGAGCTCAGTTCTAGTCATAGGTAACTGTGTCAGCTCTACAATCCGCCACGCTGTCTAAACCAGATTATTTTTCAGTTCCTACGAGTGCAGGTTTAGACAGCTTCCACTGTATGTATAGCTTGAAGTCGTACAACTGGGGTTCGCTGAGTGCAATGGCTTATAAACAACAAACAAACACACATACACTTTACACAGCATCAGGTATGACATGATGTCTTTGTCACCTAGATTCGTCTATCACCACATCATGGTTAATTTTAATTCTGAAAGTTCAGATAAAAACGTCTGGCTCCAGCCAAGGAGCAAAGCATGAAACATGTCAGTATTGTCACTGTTTTCCAGTGTAAACTAACAAACCATGCAATGATTTTGTGGCAGATGGTTTAAAATGTTGAAAAGCTGTTGCCATGCACTACTGAGCACTATAACAAAGCTACAGTTTGTGTTTCACAGTTTGACTGCTCGATACAATATTGAGACATACAGCAAGAGAAAGTTGGCAAGTCATACTTTTCTTCTTGTCAGGGCACTTCCTACAGCAGGATTATTAAATTCTGTTATGTTTTTGATATTTTCAAAATATTGTACTTTCTTCAGGCATGTAAGCATGGTATGGTTACATATATTACATGAAGTATTTATCCCAAATATAGCCTGCCAGCTTCATAATGATCACCTGTGAAGATCCAGGTTAGAATTTGTCTTCAGCAACCCACAATAATTAAAATAGGCAATGACATGATAGAGTTGCTAGGCTCGCTGACGTTGTTGACACATGTCATCGACTCTCAACTTAAAGATCAATGGTTATGACATCAATCACAGGATTGTCTAGTTCTGATTTGATAATTTACAGAACCCTGTCATATAGCTGTAATATTGTTCATATTGTAATATTGTAGTTGAGAACAATATTAAACGTATAAAGAATTAATCCCTCAACAATTTGTATTCTAAACTATTTTAAAAGATGAGTGTTAAAATAGCATACTTTTCCCCACCATACTACAGACTTGGGAGACAGTGTTCTTAAGTAAATCTATGTTACCATTATAACCTGTAGATTTGGAAGGACAAATATGAACTTTGAACCAACTTTTATTAATTGTTCCTAATGCTTCTAAACACTCTAGCAAGTTCAGTATATGTCCTAAACTAGTTTCTGACACATAGAATTGAATTTTCCAGCAACAGCAAAATTACAAACTAAAAATGTAAGTATAATTTCAAAATGCCTGACATTGGATGATAAAGATCTACTCTGTTACAAATTGTTTTTGTATCAACTTCTGAGGTGATCATGATAATTTGATTAATTTGAATCAGAATCAAGTATATTCAAAACTCATGGCAGCATATATTATTTATTGGGCAATATTGGCACTATCTATATATGTGACATTTTTGATTATGTTGGTTTGTGATCATGACACAATCCTATTATGCAAAACACAACTGGTGAAGATTGTCTGAAGATTCTACCATTTCCACAGTTATGGTACCCAGAAAAGCTCAAATTGTACAGTACTAGTAGTTGAGGGGAATTCTTGTTTACTATACAGTGGTGCCGACGACCTAAAAAACGCGAACAACTCAATGAGATGTCATACAAGTGCAGAATGGTAATCTCAACACTACAGTAGACCACTAAGTCACTATGAAATCGAGTTCCGTCTGTAGTGGGATACTTTGAAAATTAGATAATTTGAGCTGTTTAAATGACAACAGTTCCCAATCACAAACCACAAGTCACTTGTTCATATTTAGACCCAATACCTAAATACTACACCACTTGATTTTTTTCCAGCATTCACTAGCATCAACTTGTGCTCGGTCATACCATCACGCATAGATCACACAGAGCTCCTCACAGACAACAGTGGATAAATTAAGCGATGGCCCCCTCGCATCAGACAACACATTACGTCAGACATGTTTGCATGAAATTGATAATATACTTACCCCAATTAATCCTCAGATAAACACTGTGGACCACGATACGACAGTAAATATACTGCGAAGGTCAATGTCATCGTTGACCGATATCTGCCACCATTTTGATAAGTTGCCAAGTTTGGTGGTCAAGGGGGAGACAACTTTTGTCGGACTAATGTTCGGAGTTCTTTTCAAGAACAACCATACATTTTCAGGATCGAATCAACGAAATCCATGTCGTTAGAGTGGGAGGCGAATATACTTTGGGTATTTATTTAACATCCCAATCTATCACATCACGTACCTGTGTAATTCACAAATATGTTAAAATACGAGGTGAAATGGAAAAGACAATAATGTCACAAAGTTGAATTAATTGCCACAAACATACTGTTTTGAAACGTGAATGTGTTTCTACTCAAAACCTTAATTATTGAACAAACGAGAGCAGAAACTGTCTACATTCACAGAACGGCAATGGTGAATGTTTCATGAGTGAAAATGGTTCAAAGCAACAGACAAAATGCTAAACATGTCAGGATATCAAGAGTTGTCTCCCCTACAATAAGACATTTCGAAGCATGGTGAGACTTTATAATCTAAACAATTAAACTGTTATCAAAAATGATCATGCTAACCTATCCATGACAAACCTGTGCTTATTTGACCCTAAATGTATCTAAAATCAGATCTTAGTTCTCGCTACCACTAAACAAACATCTAAGGATAGCCCTCCTCAGGTCAGGCGAGAAACACCATCGATTTTGAGTAATATTTTCCTTCATTAAGACCGAGAAAAATAACAGCGTGAACTAGTGACATAAAATATGACTGTGATGTTTCAGTGGTATGATTATTGTAAGGAATCACATCGAATAGTATCGTCGGTTGTTAAACGCGGCACTCAAGTCATATAAATTAAGACGGGCTGTCGATAACGGAGTCGCAACCAGATATAACACACTCCGTTTGTATCCAAATGAGTACGATGAATTGCCTGTTGTGCTGTTCCTCCTATTCTATGACCTTTAAAAATCTGTAGCATTATCCTACAAACTGTAGCATTAATGTTAAAGCTGTAGCACTAATGTTGAAGCTGTAGTATTAATGTTAAATCTGTAGTATTAATGTTAAATCTGTAGCATTAACGTCAAAGCTGTAGTATTAACGTTAAAGCTGTAGTATTAATGTTAAAGCTGTAGTATTAATGTTAAATATGTAGCATTAACGTTAAAGCTGTAGTATTAATGTTAAATCTGTAGCATTAACGTTATAGCTGTAGTATTAATGTTAAATCTGTAGTATTAATGTTAATGCTGTAGTATTAATGTTAAGAAGCTGTAGTATTATGTCAAAGCTGTAGTGTGTTAAAATGTTAATGCTAAAGCTGTAGTATTAACTGTAGTATTAATGCTAAAGCTGTAGTATTAATGTTAAGACTGACTGACTGACTGACTGAGTTTGGTTTTACGCCGCTTTTAGCAATATTCCAGCAACATCACGGCGGGGGACACCAGAAATGGGCTTCACGCATTGTACCCATGTGGGGATTCGAACTCGGGTCTTCGGCGTGACGGGCCAACGCTTTGACCACTAGGCTACCCCACCGCCCCTAATGTTAAGAACCTGTAGCATTAATGTTAAAGCTGTAGCATTAATGTTAAGATGCTGTAGTATAAATGTTAAGAAGTTGAAGTATTATTGTTAAAGCTGTAGTATTCAGGTTTAGAAGCTACAGGATTAATGTTGACATAGCTTACTCAATGACATCATCTTTTTCTGCATTTGGAGCCATATATACTTCTTAACAGTCGGTTGAATCCACTTAGTACATACCTGGATGCCTCTCTACTTACAAAATCAATGCCTCCTCATGAATGTTCATCTGTGTAAATCAAAATTACGAGCATGTCCCAATAACTGCCATGCACTACACGTGCTTTTCTTATATGGTTTGGAATTAGGTGATTCCCAAATGCGACGGGAATGCAAGCTGCAAAAAAAAGAAAGAAAGAAAGAACACTTTAAATTATGATTCTTGCGCGCCGATGAAAAACCTACTTAAGAAAAACAACAGCTGTATAGTTTATACTGCTGGTGTGCTTCGCTGCTTCATTTCGGCATTCTCTGTGTACAGTTGCCTCCCTTGGGCGGGCCAGTATCCTGTGGTTGTTTGTTGGACATACGATTGCACTTATAATGTTGCTAAGTTTGTCAGCACTGTGATTGTTGGTTTCTCCAGGTGGTACCTATAGCCTCCAAGACATGCATGGCGTCTACATTCACACCCACAGTAAGTCCACACGCCGTGAATTAGCTAAAACTTTTCAAAGAGGTTAAACCAAATTCACCCTCTTACTATTATGTAATCATGATACTTGTAATCCCCTGGAGGTCCGGGTTAGAATTGGTCTTCAGTAATCCATGCTTGTCGTAAGAGGCGTTTAACGGGATCGGGTGGTCAGGCTCGCTGACTTCGTCGACACATCGTATCCCAATTGCGTAGATCGATGCTCATTAGGTTGATCACTGGATTGTCTGGTCCTCGATAATTGATAGGTCGCCGCCATATAGCTGGAATATTGCTGAGTGTGGCGTTAAACAACAATCAAACAAACAACCAAGATACGTGTACCTAACAAAGCAAGTACCCAAAACAAACAAGATGAAGAGAACTCTGGATTTATTGCACTGATCCACTGATGCACAAGTAAATAAATAACAACAAAACACTTTTGATAATGGATTCATACAGAGGTGTGATAAACAACTTTGTAGACTGGTTTGACATGCGCAGAACTAGGTTTTTGGACTGCGCCTTCATCTGTTGAAGGCGGTCGTGTTTCCGGTGGAGTACTTCCGGTGACGGGAGCACTGCAAGGCTTCTTCTTCCCTCCCTTGGGATTATTGTTCTGAATCTGAAGACGCTGAACCATCAAAGGCGGCAATGGAAATCTGCAACGAATACGCGAGAGAGAAAATGTTGTTTAATTCAACCCGAAGTTGATAGCATGGAAGCCTTAGATATTCGTTTCGTGAATGAACCATACTTGACTGATCTACCGAGTAGCTCGTCCTGCTTGAACAGGACACTATGCTTATCACGTTCACGTTTTCTGCCAGCTTGAATACTTTCCAGTTTGTAGCCAAATTCAATAGTTAAAACCTGTTTAAAACTATAGGCCTCATATGCTACTCGTCCAGGAGGACTAGCTTCAGTTGGATTTTGATTTGTCCTAAGCACGTCTCAAGCTAGGGGACAATATTGAAGGCTACATATAAGCACATTGGGGACAACTCGTTCTCATTTGTCCACCAAAGTGTCAGGAGGGACTGTTCAAGCAGTGCCTTCCTGAATCCCTGAACCTTATTTAGTTTACTATTGCTCTAAATGAAGCAAGTCTAGATCTTCCACATTCATAATCTCCTAGCTCAAGGGTGCTTCCTCTCAATTTGAGTGAAGCTGCTCCTCTCCATCAAAATTATGTATTGTCTGAGACAAAGAACTGTAATTTTATTACTTATTTCAAATTAGATATTATAAAAGGGTGTATGATTTTTATTCGCGGGTAAAGTCTAAAATGGAATGCTTGATTTTGGACTGGAACTATTAATTGACCATGGAATCTTAATGAACATATCTACAAGTTACACTGGATCTACCTTCTGGTCAGAGGCTCAAGTGAAATCCTACATACTCATTTGCTGGTGAAGATCCTACTTGGAGTTAGTCTCCAGTAACTAAGCTGGTCGTAAGGGGCGACTAACGGGATTGGGTTGTCAGGCTCGTTGACATAGTTGACACATGTCATCGTATCCTCCTGTGTTAATAGATGCTCATATTTGTCAGTCACTGAATTGTCTGGTCCAGACTAGATAATTTACAGATCGCTGTCAAATAGCTAGAATACCACTGTCAAACAACAAACATACAAACAGACATACTCATTAATGTATGCCGGCGTGTTTGGTCCATAAATTCGGAGGAACCTCTCCCTGCAGCTTGTGGATCTATCGGCTGGTGAGTGCCTTTCCTGTGGTGGTTGGGTGGCGACCGGCTTTGTATCTGGAGTTGCGTCCCCCTGGGTAAGTAAATACAGGATGTGACTGTCTCTAAATGTTACTTTGAAAACACATTTATTTAAAACCCGTGAAGCAACGGATTAAAATTAACATTCAGTACCCATGCTTGTCGTAAGAGGCGACTTATGGGGACGTGTGATCACTGATCAGGCTTGCTGACTAAGGCCCAACTACGTAGATCGATGCTCATGATGTCGATCACTGGAGTTTCTGGTCCACATTATTCTTATACCGCCGGTATATAGCTGGAATATTTCTGAGGGCAGCGTTAAAAACAAGCAAGCATTTTAACTAAACATATTCATGGGTGAAGGAGAACGTGGTGCATACAAACCCCGTGAAGCTGTGATATTTCTGATGACCTTGACCTGGTGTAGACTGGAACTAAAGGTCGATGTGAACGTATACTTCACTCCACATAACAAACGTATTACAATATATTCAATAACAACTGTTTTCACTCACGGCTTCATCATTGGATGTTGTCTCGTTGCTTTTTGCAAGTTTGTCCATGACAGCACTCTTTGTGGTGTCCACGTGAAGCTTCACCACTCCTCCACCGTTCTTCGCACCCCTCCCATAAGTTTTGTACCGCTTGCGGGGTCCGCTAGGGGCACTGCACTGCAGACCATCTGTTGACTTCCGGTGTTGCCGCCATGTTGACTAATGGAGTTTTCGCTCCATCTGTTCTGTTTGCAGCTGTTTTGAAGGATCTGTAGAACAGGATAGGGTCAGCCTCGTGTACAATAGTTAACAATTAATTGGGCTGAATCTTTTTGTCACTTAAACGGTAATTTGACATTATGTCAAGACTTCAGAATTGCGCCTCACAGCCATCCTGGACTCGAACCTCAAAAATGATAAAATCACTATTCACAGTGAAGATATATTCCTTTACATAGCAGTCATGTTCTCTGAAAAATAGCATGGTTAGTATGGAGACGCCCCAAAATCACACGCTGCCTGACATTTTCAAGTGTGGCAACATTGGATTCGAAAACTAGAGATTCCAAGCTTTCTAACGGTACCAAATACATCTTGGTATACTTCCGGTAGACGTGTTTCAATTTTGACACCAAAAGCCACTGCTCCCTAACTGTCCCCGATTACGATCCTTGGTCTATAATCTCATGGACAGGTTCATGGACAGCACCCCGACATACGCCGTGAGAGTTTCGTCAGATGGGACCTCACAAACCCATGATCGTGGGTTAGAATCCCAAATATGTGTTTAGACATGCCATGTCCATACCCGTGCTCGTGGGTTTCAACGAAGTGATAAACATTTGAGACGTGTTAAATAAATATAACGCTGTATCTGAGCTGTAATAGATGGACTAATCAAAGTGGCGTTAAAGCCAACCCACTCACTCATAACAATAACCAAAGCTTGTCATAAGATTCGACTAACGGGATAGCGTGGTCAGGCTCGCTGACTTGGTTGACACAGATCGATGCTCATGATGTCAATCACTGGATTGTCTGGTCCGGACCTGGTTATTTACAGACCGCTGCCATATAGCTGGAATATTGCTGAGTGCGGCTTTAAACAACAAGCCAACCAAGCAACTAACCAAATCATAATATTTGTTGCTTTGGATAACTGCAAGACACTGATACAAATTCCTCACCTTGTAGACATACCACAGAGGCACACTCTTCTGACCGTGTTCTTGTCCCGCCTTCTGACGTGGCGCTCTCTCTTTGGTCAGTTCCAGCAACTTGGTAAGTCGAGCCGTGGCTTGTGATTGGTCCTTCCTTGGCGGTGCAGTTTTACCGCGTCTTTTAACCAGCTGTTTGTCTTCCTGCTTCCGCTCCTTCTCGGTCTTCGGCCATGTTTGAGGACGTGGCTCCGTTCCTTGAAACTCTGCAACACAGCAGTCCCATACAACATTCGTCACCACTCGCCCCTTTCCGTAATCTCCAAGAAGAGGCTTGTCGGGATAACACGAGTTGGTCACGAATGACATGCAGTGGGCACTGAGGGTTCGGACATCCATCAGCGACTAGTTCCTTTTGAAGGTAGGTGTCGTGATGGGGGAACTCAGCTTACACAGTCAGAACGATGAACTTTGTTGTTTCAAATGCCAATTGTCTGAGTTGTATTTTATATGACACTCATTAAAACGCTTAAACCTTGACTGCAAATCTTCTACTGGGTTGCCTCTCAAACAACCACATGCCATTCGCTTTTCATCTGTCAGTGGTTTTGAATTTATGTATTAGTCCATTTGGGAATATAGGATCAGGTGTCGGATTACAGTCCACTTGAAATATAATCACTTATAATCGCAATTATTATGTAATGAGGGTATCTGAAGTGTGCTGATTCTTATAGAGTGACTCAAGCTATTCTAGCGAAAAGTTACTACACGACTTACAGCGTCCGGACTGTGAAGCAATTTACTGTTTATTTTACTGATTGGTGACAGCTACTTACCGTCCGGTTCCGGAAACCGAATTTCCGGATTATCAGGGCAAATTATATAGGCATAGATTAGTAACAAGCTGAAATCGCCCGGGAGGCGAGACATCCGGATTATCGGAGTCCGGACTAACGGGGCTTCACTGTATGTAAAATAATTCTAAAATATAGCTAAAAAGAGTAGTTTTCGAGAAGTATTCAATTTGCTACCGATAAATATAATAATAATTATGAAGTTATTTAAGTATCTCGTGATTCTGTTCAAGTGGCGAGACTATAGATCACGGACCATCTCCTTTGTTATGTTAGACGGCACTGATTTTGTCTTATCTTTGGGGAGGATGCTTCTAAATGTCTTGAAGCATTTTATATTTTTTCAATGTCCACTCGTCACGGTCAGGACCAGGGTTAGATTCCTTAGACCGGTTACCCTTGAAGATCCGGGTTAGAATATTGATCTTCAGTAACCCATGCTTGTCGTAAGAGGCGACTAACGGGATCGGGTGGTCAGGCTGGCTGACTTGGTTGACACATGTCATCGGTTCCCAGTTGCTCAGATCGATGCTCATGCTGTTGATCAGTGGATTGTCTGGTCCAGACTCGATTATTTACAGTCCGCCGCCATATAGCTGGAATATTGCTGAGTGCGCCGTAAATGAAACTCACTCACTCACCCTTAGACCGGTACAGATACATTGTGTGAAGCCGATTGCTGTAGCTGCTAGTACTGTCCTGAACATGCTTAACTATGATGGGAAGATGAGATAACAGGCATTAATAATGGTTCTATGGGCCCACGTGCAGATGACCATCAATCCGCCTTGACCGCAGTAAGCCTACGCTAGTTCCGGTAGCATCAGTCTCATGGCCCGTCGTTTCTCAGTCCCTTTACGTGAAGGGCAATTCCTCGATCCAGGGCATTGGATGAAATTATACACCAAGAAAAGGTGAAAAATCACATTTCGTTGTTTTCATTTATCATGCAAACCCTGGAGATGGTATACACATTTTTTACACACCTTTGGGTGAGATCCAAGTGAGAAAACAGTTTTCAAACATGTGTGAGATTTGCAAGTCCGTGATTGGCTTCTCCATGGTGATGACCTAAGGTCAGATTATGACGGACTACTTTCCTGATAGAACTTCATTGATAAGTTAGTCGTGCTTCAATCGAACATAAACCTGTTACTCGTGCCAATACGTACATACCTGTTATTCTCGCGATTCTTCAGTGCGGTGGAAAATGGATCGCAATGCTTGACTAAACATTGTGACGTCATCGGTAACCATAGCGTCACAATAAAATGAAATCACTAACCACTCTGTTGCTAAGCCATACCCAGGTGTGTATATTCGTCAGTCTTGTCAGACCCTAGGGCACTTACTCTGGTTCTTGCCCCGGCTCTTCAGAGTCACTGTCTCCCCCATTCTCTGGTTGATTGTCACAGTAGACTTTGGAGCGGAGTTCGACCGGCCTCTATCTGGATTATCACCATGGTAACACAATGGCGGACTGCTCTTTTTGGAAGCAGCGCCATCCACACGCAATTGCTCCTTCTCAGGGCTAACATCTTCCCCTTTGCTCGCCGTATACGGATTCTGAAATACATATGTATAGTATAACTTTCAACTATAAAATAAAATTCAAGACCAGAGTGAAAACTTCAATGTCTTGCAGTTATATTCTAACGTTTTAAGTTATTTAGATAATTGTATTTCTTGTCATGCTACTCACAATCCACTTGGGCTTGTTGAGCTGGCGGGGGGATGGGCTTCTTGCCCGTGAGCCAGGGGTCTGCCAACACTTCACCCACGGCGGGGCGGAGCAGGGGGTTGTACTGAAGCATCTTCCGTATCAGCACCATGCAATCTGCAGGATGGAGTGAGGTAGGAATGATTGCACTTCCGGGTTATATGTTTGGTATTTTCTCTCGCCAGGTGCCTCTCTCTGAGAGTCGGAAGTAAAGTGTTACATTTGACCATCTTCTAAATGACCTTGTGATATTCATAGCTTTCGGCCGTGGAAGGCATTGAAATTTACATTTGACAGAGGCGTACACACAATACGTGATCTAGACAACCAGTCGCCAGACTTCCACTATTGTGTAAACGGCGCTGGCTGAGTGGGTTAGATCGGTGACTGTTAGGTGCCACACTCTACGAGTGTGTGTTTGTGTCCCGGAAGTTCTAGAATCTGTACTTTACTGAGAAAGTCTAATCGCAAATATAACATTTGACCACTTTCTAAAAGGCGATGTGTGTTTATAGTTTTCTTTGTGTTTTGTCTTCATATGCAAATACATATTTGACTACCGGACACTTGTCATGTTACCTTGACCAAGAATGATAGTTAGAATTAACCGGCTTTGGGCCATTAAATCAGGCAATCGGCACATTTTCCTATTTATACTGAACAGAAAAAGTAAGTTCATGAATATTTGGGGGGATATATTTTTGTATATTCGAAAAGAGCATATCACCAATCACGTGAGGAGAGTAATTTAGAGTGTCCATAGCGTCAAGGATATAATCCGTATTTTAAATTGATTTATTGTGAAAATTGACTGTACTTTACATGATACAACGCATAAAATGCATCTGTCTTCGTATATCACATGGGGCGGTGGGGTAGGCGACTGGTTAAAGCGCTCACTCGTCACGCCGAAGACCCGGGTTCTATCCCACATGGGTACAATATGTATCGCCCATTTCTGGTGTCCTCCCCCGTGATATTGCTGGAATATTGCCAAAAGCGGCGTATAACCATACTCACTCACTCACTTACTCGTATCTCAACTGGACATCTACATATGATTATCCCCATAAAATATGGGTAGTACATTACTCTACACTACCCACTATCATGTAAGAAACACTTACCAAATGAGACGTTACGCTCGAATCTGAGTCTCTGCATTCTCATGTCTTCGTCCATCTCGCTGAGCTGACTGTCGTTGTAGGGGAGACGGCCGTTCACCATGGCGAACAGGATGATACCCCTGCAAACACACCCATCGGCATCAGCTGGGACGTCAGTCGACGGAAGTTGGGGTGAGAAGGGGTTAACGTCGCGTTCAACATTATTGCACTTATACAACCCATGGATACAATTGTACAAACCATCTTTCTAGAGCTAGCCCTCGGTCAAACCATGCCGCGGTTTCACATAAGATCTCGCTGACTGACCCAACCAGTCCTTAATACTGAGCTCCAAACAAACAACTGCAAACTTTAAGCGCAAACCACAGACCCGGGTCCCGATCCACAAAACGTTCGTAGCGCTACGACATTCGTAAGCCTATCATTAACTATAGAGTTACGACAGGTCGTAACGTTAAGAACGCTTTGTGGATAGGTACTTAAATATCGAGCGCCAGCCAGGGCAACAACAAGTATCATCTTTAAACGCGAACCACAGACCTTGAGTTTCCGTTTAAGGTATGTACTCATTAATTCCAACCTCATATGATAAGGTTATTTCCATATTCCATATATTTCTTATGATCCCTTGGAGGTTTCATTGCGCACGTTCTGCACAGATCACTGACGCGCCATGTACAAAATGCTGGCCATTCTATAATCAAATCTTCATAGGTCGGTATTACACTTAGTGTTTAGTTCAGAAAACGTCCTGTTCACTGTTTTTACACTCACAGACTCCAGGCATCAGCCCTGTATCCGTCGTAAGGCTTGTTCTTGATCACTTCCGGTGCTGTGTACGCATATGACCCACAGGAAGTCTTCAGGAGCAGGTTCCGGTCTTGAAAGCGACAGGAGAACCCAAAATCTGCAATGAAAGCATGACAAACGATCTTTTACAACAAGATGCAATTTTTGAGCGGTATTCCAGTTAAATGACGACAGTAAATGAATCAATATAATTATCATGTTCTGTAAAATGGTCTATTTCGTGTCATCGTACTCAACCACGTATATGTCAGATCCTGTCATTCTCTGGATTGTCTAACCCTGACTCAAGTATTGTGAGATCGCTTATAATACAACGAAATATGGTAAATATACTGTAAATGAAGGGGTCTGGACCAGACACGCCAGTGATTGAAACGATCAACGATCCCCGCCAGGGGTAGAAATAACCCATTGTCCGACGCCCGAGTCCAGTGTTTTTTTCTGTCGGGCAAGCAAATTTGTATATCACACTGTACCGGTGTCCAGTTGACTTTCCAATATTAATTATGTTGTTTATTTTAAAAAATCAACAAGAAAACGGCCGGTATAGTGGAAAAATTATCAGGGCAAGTGATTTTACATGTGCCCTTGTACCGGAGTACACTAGCAATTTTAAAGTTATTTCCACCCCTGGCCCGCTGTCGGGAAGCAATGGCGCTGAATCAACCAAGTCACAGACACTGATCACCTGTTGGCATGCATCAAATGGGCAATCTCCACTTCTATATACTTAGTCGCTTCTTAAGGCAAGCATGCATAGCTGAAGACCAATTCTAACCGGGTTCTTCACCCAGACTATGACTATATCAGAAGATTTATAGAAGACAATATTTCTTTTGAAAGAAACCAGTACCTCTTGGCAGATGTTCGCTCTGTTTATAAAGACTTGCCTGTTATTTTAACTGTTGTGCCAGATGTGATGAGGATGTTCTCGCACTTGAGGTCTCTGAAGACAAAAATACATAAGAAGGTCAATCATGTCCATCAGAGGTTTAGCGCTAAGACGATTCTTTTATCCAAACTGTAGGGTGCCGTAGTAAAAAAAGGTTTATTTTTGTTGGTTTATCGCCCGGAGTTGTCCATCTTGTAAATTTATATGCCTTCCAAACACACGGCCACAAAATTCGTGGAGTGTTTAGTTCAACATCATCACATTGATAGAGGTATGTTCCTGTGTTAGTTGCTGCAAGTGAAATCCACCTACCTGTGCACAATGGCGTTGTTGTGCAGGTGTAACTGTGAGTGAAATCCACCTACCTGTGCACGGTGGCGTTGTAGTGAAGGTGTAACTGTGAGTGAAATCCACTTTCCTGTGTACGATGGCGTTGTTGTGAGGGTGTAACTGTAAGTGAAATCCACCTACCTGTGTACGATGGCGTTGTTGTGAGGGTGTAACTTTGAGTGAAATCCACCTACCTGTGCACGATGGCGTTGTTGTGCAGGTGTAACTGTGAGTGAAACATCCACCTACCTGTGCACAGTGGCGTTGTTGTGCAGGTGTAACTGATAGTGAAATCCACCTACCTGTGCACGACGGCGTTGTTGTGCAGGTTTAACTTTGAGTGAAATCCACCTACCTGTGCACGATGACGTTGTTGTGCAGGTGTAACTGATAGTGAAATCCACTTTCCTGTGCACGATGGCGTTGTTGTGCAGGTGTAACTGATAGTGAAACAACACACCTGTGCACGATGGCGTTGTTGTGCAGGTGTAACTGTGAGTGAAATCCACCTACCTGAGTACAATGTGGCGTTGTTGTGCAGGTGTAACTTTGAGAGAAAAATCCACCTACCTGTGCACAGTGGCGTTGTTGTGCAGGTGTAACTGTGAGTGAAATCCACCTACCTGAGTACAATGGCGTTGTTGTGCAAGTGTAACTTTGAGTGAAATCCACCTACCTGTGCACGATGGCGTTGTTGTGCAGGTGTAACTTTAGAGTGAAATCCACCTACCTGTGCACAGTGGCGTTGTTGTGCAGGTGTAACTGATAGTGAAATCCACCTACCTGTGCACGATGGCGTTGTTGTGCAGGTGTAACTGTGAGTGAAATCCACCTACCTGTGCACGATGGCGTTGTTGTGCAGGTGTAACTGATAGTGAAATCCACCTACCTGTGCACGATGGCGTTGTTGTGCAGGTGTAACTGTGAGAGAAAAATCCACCTACCTGTGCACAGTGGCGTTGTTGTGCAGGTGTAACTGTGAGTGAAAGAGTGAAATCCACCTACCTGTGCACGATGGCGTTGTTGTGCAGGTGTAACTGTGTGAGAAAAATCCACCTACTACCTGTGCACAGTGGTGTTGTTGTGCAGGTGTAACTCATTAGTGAAATCCACCTACCAGTGTACGATGGCGTTGTTGTGCGCAGGTGTAACTGATAGTGAAATCCACCTATCAGTGTACGACGGCGTTGTTGTGCAGGTGTAACTTTGAGTGAAATCCACCTACCTGTGCACGATGACGTTGTTGTGCAGGTGTAACTGATAGTGAAATCCACTTTCCTGTGCATGGTGGCGTTGTTGTGCAGGTGTAACTGATAGTGAAATCCACCTACCTGTGCACGATGACGTTGTTGTGCAGGTGTAGCTGATAGTTAAATCCACCTACCTGTGCACGATGGCGTTGTTGTGAAGGTGTTACTGTGAGTGAAATCCACCTACCTGTGCACGATGGCGTTGTTGTGCAGGTGTAACTGTGAGTGAAATCCACCTACCTGTGCACGATGGCGTTGTTGTGCAGGTGTAACTGTGAGTGAAATCCACCTACCTGAGTACAATGTGGCGTTGTTGTGCAGGTGTAACTTTGAGAGAAAAATCCACCTACCTGTGCACAGTGGCGTTGTTGTGCAGGTGTAACTGTAAGTGAAATCCACCTACCTGAGTACAATGGCGTTGTTGTGCAGGTGTAACTCTGAGTGAAATCCACCTACCTGTGTACGATGGCGTTGATGTGCAGATGTAACTTTGAGTGAAATCCACCTACCTGTGCACGATGGCGTTGTTGTGCAGATGTAACTTTGAGTGAAATCCACCTACCTGTGTACGATGGCGTTGATGTGCAGATGTAACTTTGAGTGAAATCCACCTACCTGTGCACGATGGCGTTGTTGTGCAGATGTAACTTTGAGTGAAATCCACCTACCTGTGCACGATGGCGTTGTTGTGCAGGTGTTACTGTGAGTGAAATCCACCTACCAGTGTACGATGGCGTTGTTATCAGGTGTAACTGTGAGTGAAATCCACCTACCTGTGCACGGTGGTGTTGTGCAGGTATGTAGATTTCAGTGACACAACACACCTGTGCACGATGACGTTGTTGTGAAGATGTTACTGTGAGTGAAACAACACACCTGTGTACGATGGCGTTGTTGTGAAGGTGTTACTGTGAGTGAAACAACACACCTGTGCACGATGGCGTTGTTGTGCAGGTGTAACTGATAGTGAAATCCACCTACCTGTGCACGATGGCGTTGTTGTGCAGGTGTAACTGATAGTGAAATCCACCTACCTGTGCACGATGGCGTTGTTGTGAAGGTGTTACTGTGAGTAAAACAACACACTTGTGTACGATGGCGTTGTTGTGCAGGTGTTACTGTGAGTTAAACAACACACCTGTGTACGATGGCGTTGTTGTGCATGTGCAGCACTCCCTGGCTCATCTGTTTGAAGATCTTCTTCGTGAGGTCCTCGCCGATGCCGTGTTGGTTATTGCTGATGTTTCTGTTGATCATGTCCAACAGGTCCCCCTTCTCGCAATACTCGAGGACGAGGTACACTTGGTCGGCCGTGGAGAAGTTCTCAAACACTTGAACCTGGATCACGGATAAATGACATAGCTGAAAATATTGTTAATTTTGTCATTTTACCAAAAAGGGAGAGTTGAGTTGTCTACTCACCAGATTTCGATTGCTGGGGTTCCCAAAGCGGTATACACCAAGCACTTACCACATTTGGATGAATGGGGTTCTTGGAATGGTATATTCCAATTACTCACCACATTTGGATGTTGAGGGGAAAGTGGAGTGGTATACTCACCACGTGTGGGTGATGGGGAAGCATGGAGTGGTTGTCAAGTTCGCGGGGAAGAAACTTCCGAAGGAATTCTTTCGGCACAAGCTTCTTGTTGATCACCTTGATGGCAACCTAAGATATGGACATACAGATGTGGAATAAGTGAGTGTCATACATGTCAGCTAAAATATCCCTACTTATGGTGAATATCGACATAACGGGTGAGCGAGAGGGATATGACTCTTTTTGGTAGTATTTCAGTTGTTAGTTGTCATTCAAACAGTACAGGAAGTGAAAGTAGCAGACAACAACAGCATTACCGCAGAACAATACTGGTTGTATGAAACCGCTTTGAGGGACTGAAATGAATACAACATGCGGAATTAGTATGTAGTACACGTGTACAAGAACTGAATAAATTTGTTGTATTATTTTTAGGATATTTATTATTCACATTTCTGACCTGATTGTGTTTACAAATACAAATAGAAAAGAACGATATTACCAATAAACAATAATTAATAATTCTCAATATCATGTTTCAGGTTCTCTTCAACTTTTTATAATCAACATTCGTAGGATTTATGTGAGTGAATGAGTGAGTTTAGTTTTACGCCGCACTCAGCAATATTCCAGCTATATGACGGCGGTCTGTAAATAATCGAGTCTGGACCAGACAATCCAGTGATCAACAGCATGAACATCGATCTACGCAATTGGGAACCGATGACATGTGTCAACCAAGTCAGCGAGGCTGACCACCCGATCCCGTTAGTCGCCTCTTACGACAAGCATGGGTTACTGAAGATCAATATTCTAACCCTGATCTTCACGGGTAGGATTTATGTGACCTAAACGAATAACAAACGTGGAATTTTCTTAGATATAATTGAAAACATTTTTGGGGACAAAACATATTCACCAGTCATGTATGATACCCATCAGCAGTAATGTATAAGCAGTTGTTGTATATTTCTAAACGTATAAACTCAAATTATATTATTATTAATTAGACGACGCTAAAGAAGTTCTCTAGTGCTGACTAAGCGACTGTGCAGTTCATTGTTTGGATAAAGCTTCACTAACTGTTTCCGTTGAATATCAAACATATGATAAAGCAAATGTGGGGTATATTTTCTTTTGCCCCTCAGTATATATTTCATGAATGGGTGTAAATTGTACGTACATTTAATTGTTTCGCCTTTCAAATGATTTGGCAAGGATGCGCTATTCTAAAACTATAGAAACTGTTTCGTTTGCTGCAGTGGTATTTATCTTTATTTATCGACCGTTATTGACCATAGAATATTAGCCACTGTGCTATTTCATTGGAGATCCCAACGACATCCGAACTTAATATCAAGTTATTGTATGTATCAGTAGTACACGCTCTGCCCTAACAAGAGGTTTTACTCTGGAGTGGTTGAGTGACTTTAAATTTTACGCCGCTTTTAGTAATATCCCAGCAATATCACGGCGGGGGACACCAGAAATGGGCTTCACACATTGTACCCATGTGTGGAATCGAACCCAGGTCGTCGGCGTGACGAGCGAACGCTTTAGCCACTAGGCTACCTCACCACCCCTTTACACTGGAACTAATAACGACCAACCAACAGAACTTGACTTACCAAAGGGTTGCTGCTATCCAGACTGTCAGACAGTCCCCTTACATCGAGCGAGTCTGGCTGCCGAGACTTCAGCGAGACTGACCTTGGCGTACGCCCCTTCCCCCAAAGTCTTACCCAGAAGTCTGTACCCTCGACTCAGACACTCAGTCTTTACAATCTCACTCTCAGCTTCTTTGGCGGTCTGGGACCTACACGCAAAGAGTTGTCTTTTCTTAGTCTCCTGGGGCGCTGGTATATTAACCCTACGATTGTAAGGTAGCTTAATTGCATTCGTTGCCATTTTGAGGGATTTTTTTCGACCAGTTGGCAAGATTCACTGCGGTTACATCGCAACACGTCTTCTCGCTATCCTGCCATGGCTGATTGCGCTTTGTTGATTATGACGTCAGCGCGTTTGTGACGTCACCGTTTTGTGACGCATTAACAATATGCTCACTTGGCGCAGAGCCACCTTCACTGGAACATTTCACGGCCTGTACACACTTCCACAAAGCATCTCTGCACTACAACTATCTGTGTTAAAAATATGGACCATAAGAAGCCCTTTAGATTGAAGATGTCCTTTTTATCATCCTGTGATATTTTAAACAAAATAAATCACTGTAAACTACCCTTCACAATTCGATACAACGTAGTTATCCCCAGTTTTTTCTCATATTAGTTCATCATAATTTACGGGGTGTATTTGGGAAAATCTATATTTCTGCTTTTAATTACAAACGGGTATTTGTGTTTTGGGTTGTTGTGTTTTTTGTTTTTTCAAAACAAACAAACAGAAACAAACCCAAACAAACAATACCTTAGTGATCATTTTAAAACAACATCGATGACACTAGAATGATGTAACCGATAATACGCAACACCGATGTGAACTTCTAATAATAATAATAAGGACATTTGTAATGCGCTGAGCTCCGCACCACGGATGGGGCACGCTCATAGCGCTAATATACAATCTGATAATTATTACCCCGGATAACCCAAGCTGCTCAATTAATTCTAGACATATCGGTTAGTGTTTACACATCCACGTTTTATACATGCCGGTTATGAGACGCCTGTCAATGTAAGTCAGTTCAAATACATCTCATATATAGATTCTCATACATAGACTCAAGTGAGAAATGGTCGTTTCATCAAAACAAGTTGTCTGGATGAAATCAAACGCAAACTTTTAACTTCTGTGTTTGTTTCATGTTTGTATATATGTAAAGCTTTCCGTTGGATATCAGGTGCTACAGAAATGCATTATTAATATTATTGTTTATTATCACCTGTTTGAAATGGAAACAATTCAAAATTCACAAATTTACACAGAGTAACGTTTTCTCCTATTTTGAGTGATTTATTCCGGTGATTGCACGTAACCATAGCCTGTAGACATGGCTTGTTTCCCATCATATCAATAACTGGATTTCCCTGACCTAGGATAACTGACTTCATTCAGTAGAATATGCTCTTCAAAGTCATTCTAGGGCCATACTTGTACAGACATGGTTTTTCTTCAAAATGAGCTAATGTCATCATAAAATCAACATGGATTCCTATCATTTTGTCGTTTTATATGAGTCAGGGGATCATACGGGTCTGAAAAACTCTTGTTTTTCCATCGTGGTCACCACGAGAAGTTTTATGTACGTGTTGAAAACCTATCATTTCCAAAATAGAGGGGGTGCTTAATTAAGTTCTTTGTGTAAAGTTATGTAAAGTTTGAAGTTTGTTTCACCGAAATATGATTATTATTTTGAGATGATAGGAGTGTAGGCCATGGTTGAAATAGGTTTCCACACTTCAATATTTAAACTGATAATCGTAATTAGACGAAGCGACGATAGTGTAGACAATATTGAAAGAAGCGGTTATAAAATCTGTTAGACAATTACCATCAAAGATAATGAGTGAGTGAGTGAGTTTGGGTTTACGCCGCTTTTAGCAATATTCCAGCAATATCACGGCGGGGGACACCAGAAATTGGCTTCACACATTGTACCCATGTGGGGAATCGAACCCGGGTCTTCGGCGTGACGAGCGAACGCCTCAACCACTAGGCTACACCACCGTCCCTCAAAGATAATGAACTGCAACTAATGCACATCCAAATCTAAATGAAAATGTCCTTACTTTGATTCCCATGCATTTTGACTAGTATCCCCAAGAGAATCAATCAGTTTATAAGCTTCCTGGATTAATGCAGTGGCCGCGGAATCAGGCCCGAGACCGAGGGTCAAGATCTACCTCAAGACTCGAACACACTCTCCCATGTTCACGTTGTTATCGGTAGATGAACCGTGAAGATCCGGGTTAGAATTGATCTTCAGTTGCCCATGCTTGACCGCCGCCATATAGCTGGAATATTGGTGAACGCGGCGTAACACTAAACTCATTCAGTCATCGGTAGATGCTGACTCTGTGATTAAGCTGGTTGCGGCTCTCTTTGCGCGCGCGATATGCGAGACGGGGCTCAGCTTAACTTTGTGATTTGCTAAATACGGTGTACACACCCTCACTCTGATAGAACAGTTGATTTAATTTTTGTTCAATAAAATATTTTATCGTAAAAGCCGACAGTGCAAAAAAATGACAAGTTTATATTTTCAGCTATACCCGACTTGTACTGTGCTTCATGGAATTAGAACAAAAGCACAACATCTCGCGTGATTTTGACATGCGTGGTCTATCCCTGGGCATCCGTCCATTGATCAGTAGTTCAGTAGAGGGACAGACTTGTAGTGGAGCGGCTTGGTGAAATTTATGTTCACTTCTGGCAGGAAAGCTGAAATTTGGCACAGACATAGCCCAACAGCCCATAATCATAATACAAGCAGGAGGCAACAGTTTTGGAAAGTGCATCCTACTTTTTGGGGCAAAAATGCAAAAAATGATAATATTTCATATTTTATTTAGACTCGATAAGTACACAGGATTAGGTCTCCGGATTAAGATAACACTATGTTGTACCCGGATTAGGTCTCCGGATTAAGATAACACTATGTTTTACCCGAATCATGCTCTGTGTCCCGTTATTTTGTTCCCAAAATACTACCGATTGCATGTTCACATATATTATTCATTTTTGTAAGGTAAAATTAACATCGAGTAATCTCCCGGATATATCTTTCTGGTCATTTTGATGAAAGAACATTTAATTCAACGTGGCCAGTTACTGATAGACCTTGTTTACTGGAGTATGACGTCAGCGTCTGGTACAAGTCGATGATGTTGGGTCGACCATCAATAATTGATAACCGACCCGAACCTACGCTGTTCTCACCGTATGACATGCAACGTGTATCGGAAATTTACATCCGGAACTCTGGTTGAGAGCTGACCTGATCATATTAACCTGTTCAGGTGCGTAGTTGATTGTCATGGTGTCTACATGTTTTCCTGTACCAGATAACCACTTTAGTTGTTTTAGTTATTAAGACTGCTGTAATAAGTAAATGGTGCATACCGACTGAGGGGAGTAGCTGTTCATGTGAGTAGGGCTGGGACATTGACTGATTTGATTTGATTGACAGACCGAGTGTGCGTGCGTGCGTGCGAGCGTGCGAGCGACATTCATCTCTGAAGAACCGTAGTGCTATTGGACTAAAATAAAATATGTTCCGGCATAAAATTTTGTGTGATATCAGCTTCTTCTTTGGTTCACAGCAACATGTAACCAAATAACTGATAAAACTGTCTATGTTGGTAGGTGGATTAAAGGATTGCAGACGTCATCAGCCGTAGTCCGTCACCGGTGACTATATTCACATACGAGACTTTCTTCTCCTCCGCTATGTCAGTGACAGGTGTGATTCGTCACGTGGTTGGTGTGCATATTCGTCACGGTGACAACAGAGGGAGTTGGTAGAAGAAGCTTGGATCCACGGTGCCGAATTACTACAAGCGGGCAACTCGGTAAAGTGACATTCCTTGTTGTTGGGATGATCTCCCTTGGGTCAAGGTCAAGATGTCGTTATTAATAAGTCCAGCTGGCTCTTCTGTCTCCTTGCGGCCACATGATCCAGTCCTCCGGTATCTTCAGCTGGTGGGCGGCTTGCTTTGTTTCCGGTTTCCGTGATGTATTTTAAGGACTATCCAGAACGAGGTTCATGGCTGTACAGCCAGTTGGTGAAGGAGGATTACTACACGCCCTATTGGGTGGCTTTGTGATGAATATAATTTCTGTAAATAGAAAAACAACTACTGAAAATACATTTATTTACACGTTTAGTGAAATCGTATAATTTTGAAATAACTATCAGGTATCTCAACATAACTTATGTTTTATTGTGATGTCTATAAAACGACCACACTACACTAAAATGCGCCAACATTACGTAAATCAATACACAGCACATTTTCACTATTGTTTGTTTTCATCATCAACTGCAGCATTAGGGAGTGAGGAGTAAATAAATGTCGCTTTCTGATTGGCTGAGCGCTCTTCTATTATTTTCAATGTACCCCGCTTACAAGCGAGTAACATTTCAATGCACCCCGCTGTCAATGGCAACTCATTTGGTACTTCGTGGAAGTAATTCTTTATCTCGAATTACATTGAATCGGGCTCAGGGAACATAAACAAACATCGAGGGCACATCAACCCATGTCCCCTCGTGACCAGTGAATAACTTATATTATAGTATGCTGTATATGGCACGATGCTGTGTGTCTCTCCTGTCTCTCTCTCTCTCTCTGTGTTCGATTCTCTCTCTCTCTCTGTGTCTCTCTCTCCCTCTCTCTCTCTCTCTCTGTGTCTCTCTCTCTCTCTCTCTCTCTCTCTCTCTCTCTCTCTCTCTCTGTCTCTCTCTCTGTCTCTCTCTCCTCTCTCTCTCTCTCTCTCTCTCTCTCTCTCTCTCTCTCTCTCTCTCTCTCTGTGTCTCTCTCTGTCTGTCTCTCTCTCTCTCTGTGTCTCACACACACACACTTACTTGTTAATATGCATCGTTTCAAAATAGACACTTAATATGGGACAGTCCAGATTGACAGGGTTCATCTGTATACGATATATTTGGAAGCCTTCCACTTCAAACCAATCTATGGTAGCTAGGCATGTGTACATTATGTTGTGAGTCTCGGCATAGCGGAGAAGCCACAACTGATGTTGATGGACAGGGCGTATAATACCACTGGTCATTGCTGATAACTAGATACCCAACCTCCAATGACCTCTACATCTCGACGGACGTCGTGTTAAAGCGGCATTGCCAGGCGTTAATGTGACATATTGCCCAGCCACTAACATTATTTCACTTTGCCTGCAAAATACATGTACATGCTTCCTATTAATTTAATATTTTTTAAATAACATGGTGACCAGTTTTGATTTTTAAGAAACTTTTAGCTCTCGTGTCTTGTGTTCTTCATCGAATAAGTCCAGAGACACTAACCACAGTCCAAACCGTTGTGTCGAACATCGATGTGCCGAATGTATGGCTGTATCGAGGTTAATGCTTAGTGCCTGCGTATTCATTAATTAGTCATTTTCCGGGAGGGAGGTATTTGGCTGTACATAGTTTCAACAATAAAAGTATCCAGTGTACATTTAGAGAAAAATGTGCTGCTTTAAACATGTAAACATTTAAATGACAGTTGAATTCGGACCAGGATGTTTCGATGTCTGGCCATGTATGTGACAAGCGGTCACACATGAATATCTTTGACTGTTCTTGTCACGGATGTCTTGGCACGGTTCAACGTGGATATTAAACTCACGCACAGCATACTGTCTTCAAACCGAACAGTGATTTTTTGTATCCCCTTAATGCCGAGCGTGAGGCAGAGTAACAAAAAGTACCATCCTATAATGCCATTATGTATGACGAGGCAAGGGATCAACCGACCTTCCTGTCTCTGGGTAGACATGGAGACCTATTTGATATAGACTATGAGTTTCACATTGTTTTCTTTTATAAACTTGCAGGTGCCGAATAAATTGAAACCTCAACTTGAAACCCCCACTTTTGGGACAACGTCATTACATTATGCAGACAGACTTCCTATCTATTCAGTGCCCTAACAACATGGACCCGTGAAGATCCGGGTTAGAATATTAGCCTTCAGTAACCCATGCTTGTCGTAAGAGGCGACTAACGGGATCGGGTGGTCAGCCTCGCTGACTTGGTTGACACATGTCATCGGTTCCCTATGTTGTTGATCACTGTATTGTCTGGTCCAGACTCGATTATTTACAGACCGCCGCCATATAGTTGGAATATTGCTGAGTGCGGCGTAAAGCTAAACTCACTCGCTTACTCCTAACAACAGACTTCTTTTGTCACGAACTACAGATAATTCGTCATTAAATTTGTATAGTCCAATGAAAACATTGCTTGTCAGGGTACAGATGATAGATGTGTATATTGTACGGGACGCTTCATACAGATGGGTTCCGATTCCTTGAACATGTTTCACACTTGTTGCTGATTACTAACTAACACATGAACCAGGAAATATATATATCTGTTTGTCTGTTGCGTAACACAGCACTCAGCAATACTCAAGCTATATGACGGCGGCGGTCTGTAAATGATGTCAATCACTGGATTGTCTGGTCCTGAATCGATTATCTATATAGCAGGACTATGTGCGGCGTTAAGCAGCAATCATTGAACCAAACTTAATGCACCAAATAGTCTGGGCTGATTTTCGAGATCTCTTTTGGTAATTCAGTATAATCCTGTCAGATTGCCAATGTCGTTGCTCCTGTTGTCAATCACTGGTTTCCATGTCCAGACGCGATGATTTACAGTTGAGGTAGTCGACTACGGTATAAAATAATATTCACTCACTTATTCAAACCAGAGTACTTGACGACGTAAACACGTGAAGAGTGCGCCTTTAAGAGCATGCGAGAACCCACCGGCCGAGGTCAGAGTCTGTTATGCGGACGTAGGGAGACGACGATGTACACCCTGCTAACGGCATTGTTGACGCTGGTACTTGGTGAGTGTATGTGTTAGTGTATGGTTCACATGGAACAAGACTTTGGTAACAAAATTGATGCAAGACAGTTTATAGCAACTATTTACAAGGGGATATTGCTGTGTATGGAGTGTATTCAACATTGGCTACACAATGTCATTTAGAAAGTGGTCAAATGTAACATATGTTATATTTGGGACTACACTTTCTTAGTAAAGAACAGATTCTAGTATTTTGTTGGGTTGGGTCCCATCCGAAATTCGAACCCACGCCCTCAGAGTCAGGCACCTAATCGCCAGCACACAATGTATGTTACATTTGACCACTTTCTAAATGGCATTGTGTAATCATAGCTTTCGGCCGTGGGAGCCGTGCCAACTTACACTTGTCAGAGGGTACACATTCAGCAGTCTAGACTACCAGTTGTCCAACTTCCATTTTTGTGGAAGCCGCGGTGGCTGAGCGGTCTAGGCGGCTGACTTTGTGTGTTAGCAATTAGGTGCCTGACTCTGAGGGTGTGGGTTCGAATCCCGGATGGGACCCAACCCAACAAAGGTACCAGATTCTGTACTATTTACTAAGAAAGTGTAATGAAACATATATCAAATAAGTTTCAAAAGCTTGGTTCACATTTGAAAATTCCACCGTAGACCCTTTCCCCACCAGAATAGTGGCAGCAACCTCATGGCCTTGACCTTTTCTCGAAGTCATTGTTTACATTTGGAAAGATGCGACAGGAGAGCCACTGACAGTTTGCGCAAGGTTAACCTGATTGTATGACTGAGATAGTCTTTGATATCTAATTACTGGTACTGGTACAAAATTTAAGAGTAGGGGGCGCTTTTGCTGTAACGAAGAGTCCGTGTTGTACCCAATTTAGATACTGTTGAATTTTGCGCCCTGTCAACTTGACGATTTCACGCACCTCTACGTCTGCGTGCGACAGCTGTGGTGACTCTTACACACTCATGTGTGTACTTTGATACTCAAATTCGATTCTACGGATATTATTTTCTACATTTTGGAAAGTGTTTTTGTGACCTAGTGGCTTCAAAGTGTAGTGAATTCAAATTGAATCGGATTGGCTGGCATGTTCGCGAGTCTGTTGACAAAGAGCCAGATTTGTGGTGATATTTCGAAAAGGATGGATCAGGACACGAGGGTGTACCTCTGGGATAAACACGGTAAGGTAATTAATTATACTTTAATAGACTACTTTAGATCAAGCAGTGTAATGGATAAGAGGGATCATGACTAAGCTAAATAACTTTTCAACGATATTATACATTTAGAAAAAAATATGTTGGGCTAAACAGAACGGTTTGCAGATTCTGTAGATCTAATTGTGTTTTACTACCGCTAAATTTGAAACAAGTACAAATTTCAAAATATCATTTTGTTTGAATTGATAACCCAACTGTTTATTTATGTGGACGGAAGGCATTAGAATCTAAAATTTCTTCGGCGTTCGATGTTAATGCATCCTCCGTTACCGGATCAAGATCAGTGGCGATATCGTTGACGAAAGCTGATAATAAATTTAACACGGAAATTTTTGTAGCAGTCTATTGCTGGATCTATTCTGACATAACATAGAATCAACGTAAACATATTTGTTTTTGCAGAATTTTTATTCGGAAAGCAGACGATGTTTTGATCTTGTTCGACTGAATATTTGTTTCCATGCTTTCGAAGTACTTTTGTATGTATAAACACCTATTGCTGTGATTTACGCAAGTAGTGAGTCATGCCCGTCATCGCTAAATCCATCTTTAAAGACATATGTGTAATTTCCGACAGTAAAATCGACGTAATTTATCGATGCATCGGTAGGTTGTTCGGTGTCCGCCATGTTAGTGGGCAGACAAAAATAGTGCATTACCGTAAACCATGTATGATTGCGCACGGAAAACAGAGACCTGTATAACGTAATTATATACTTCTGAATGACTTTAATTAACCAATCACAATCCAGTGTTTACTGAAGTCATGGTAGAATTATTATTATCATTATCATACAATCGATTTTACACAAACTTCCATTATTGGCACGTCCGTTACCTGAGCTGAATGTATCATAATTATGATTGTAGGCTACCGTTTACACATACGCCTCATAAATATATATATATATATATACTTGAAAGCTGAAAACTACCAAATAAATTATCTTCGTCACTTTGAAGCCCAGTTTCTGGCTGATTGTAACCGTTTAAACATGTTGAAAAGAAATTATTACTCATTCCAAAGAATAGGAAGAGATGTTTTCTTCGTTTCTTAAAGTGTTGTAATATTTCCGTACATGTAAGTCTACTGTATGTACAATGTTGAATATACACACATGTTATATTTGTGATTCTACCATGACTTCAGTAAACACTGGATTGTGATTGGTTAATTAAAGTCATTCAGAAGTATATAATTACGTTATACAGGTCTCTGTTTTCCGTGCGCAATCATACATGGTTTACGGTAATGCACTATTTTTGTCTGCCCACTAACATGGCGGACACCGAACAACCTACCGATGCATCGATAAATTACGTCGATTTTACTGTCGGAAATTACACATATGTCTTTAAAGATGGATTTAGCGATGACGGGCATGACTCACTACTTGCGTAAATCACAGCAATAGGTGTTTATACATACAAAAGTACTTCGAAAGCATGGAAACAAATATTCAGTCGAACAAGATCAAAACATCGTCTGCTTTCCGAATAAAAATTCTGCAAAAACAAATATGTTTACGTTGATTCTATGTTATGTCAGAATAGATCCAGCAATAGACTGCTACAAAATTTCCGTGTTAAATTTATTATCAGCTTTCGTCAACGATATCGCCACTGATATCTTGATCCGGTAACGGAGGATGCATTAACATCGAACGCCGAAGAAATTTTTAATTCTAATGCCTTCCGTCCACATAAATAAACAGTTGGGTTATCAATTCCGAAAACAAAATGATATTTTTGAAATTTGTACTGTTTCAAATTTAGCGGTAGTAAAAACACAATTAGATCTACAGAATCTGCAAACCGTTCTGTTTAGCCCAACATATTTTTTTCTAAATATATAATATCGTTGAAAAAGAACTATTTAAGCAGTAGTCATGATCCCTCTTATCCATTACACTGCTTGATCTAAAGTAGTCTATTAAAGTATAATTAATTACCTTACCGTGTTTATCCGAGGAGTTACACCCTCGTGTCCTGATCCATCCTTTCGGAAATATCACCACAAATCTGGCTCTTTGTCAACAGACTCGCGAACATGCCAGCCAATCCGATTCAATTCACTGCACTTTGAAGCCACTAGGTCACAAAACACTTTCCAAAATGAAGAAAATAATATCCGTAGAATCGAATTTGAGCACAAAGTACACATGAGTGTAAAGTCACCACAGCTGTCGCACGCAGGTAGAGGTGCGTGAAATCGTCAGAGTTGACAGGGCGCAAAATTCAACAGTATCTAAATTCGGTACAGCACGGACTTCTCGTTACAGCAAAAGCGCCCCTACTCTTAAATTTTGTACCAGTACCAGTAATTAGGATATCAAAGACTATCTCAGTCATACAATCAGGTTAACCTTGCGCAAACTGTCAGTGGCTCTCCTGTCGCATCTTTCCAAATGTAAACAATGACTTCGAGAAAAGGTCAAGGCCATGAGGTTGCTGCCACTATTCTGGTGGGGAAAGGGTCTGCGGTGGAATTTTCAAATGTGAACCAAGCTTTTGAAACTTATTTGATATATGTTTTCCAACTTATCAGTTAATGATTGGTGATTGATGCATTGAAAAACAAAACGTGATTTGTTATTACTGAATCTGGAGTTTGTTAGTCATTGACGGTTTGCCACCAAACACCCCGTTTCGGGCGATACCGCGAGATTGGAATGCGAGGCCGCTTCACGTATTGACTCGTAACCAAAGAAACTCCACCTGAAATTGTTCATAAAATTGTCATGGTAGAATGGAGATAAACCTACTGTGTTGGAAAATCAGGGTATATAACGAAATTATAATAGCTCTAAATTGTTCATTTAAAACCACGCTACGCGTTCGGTTTTAAATGAAATTTAAACTATTATAATTTCGTTATACTCTGATTTTCCCAATGGAGCGGTTTATCTCCAATTCATTTATATAGCGCCTATTATCCATCTGCCTAGCTGCTCACTGGACACTGTAATCAGGATCTGTTTATTATTTCTGTATGTGCAACTTTGAGTGCAGACTCTTTCAGTGTTGTCACCCCACCCCCACCCCCACACCCCGTAGTGAACAGTACACAACCATGTGCACTTACAAAAACCGGTATTTTACCCGGATACGCAGCTTATCTGGGCCTCTGTGATGTTGACACTAGAACTTCCTTTATATGATTGTACACACGTTTATTGTCAGCCTCGTAAAAGGTAGTCACGATCGGTTTTGCACATTTGGTCATTTAGCTGAAAGCGGCAATCAAAGGTGAAGCTTGATCTAGCACATGTTATTGCTCAATATCCATGACAAATCTTGTTCCACTGGCTTCAACCAATCAGACTTTCGCAGGACATGAAGAAGTCAGAGAGGTTCCATATTTTGCAAAATTGTTATTAGTAAATTTGTTCCTCCCCAAACCAACATTCTATCAAACACCCCCATACTAAACTAACGTTCACACTTACATGTCTCCAGAGTCATGAGAGTACCTCAATGTATCACCATTCTTCTGTCGTAGCCGACTTTACCGATGGTATCAACTACTTGCCTATCTTTGGACTATACCTCCATTCCTTATGTTGAAGCCAACGTTGCTGATGCGGTCAACTGCTCGACGTTGAACGACGGCGTGTATGAGAAGAGTTGTCGTTCCTTCACTGTCTGTCATGGCGGCAAACCGGAAGTGAAATTCTGCCACAATGGGCTGGTCTTCAACTCCGAGACTGGCATCTGCGACAGGTACGTTCCTTGCATGATTGGGTGGATGGAATGTTGTTGCACCATAATACAACCAAGGCATGTCGGAAATTACAGTTTTGTGTAACTTGTGATCCCTTTCAAACATTACTGTAACATATATATGAACGTGCACGTAAATGTCAAGGCCATCTATGGCCGACAAGTGAGTATGATTGCCGATGGTTTTGGAGAAAATGCCTGCATACTGTTGAGGAAATGATTTGTAGATGTTGCAATAAGTTTTTGACCCGTGGAATGGCGCTGCCGATCGAATCTAGCCCTACATAGGTGCTGTCAACGTGGCTGGAATTAATAAACTAATTTAAAAGGTGAGTTTTCGCTGTCTTGGGTGATCCATGATTTTGGCTTGGAATTGCGGAGGTAGCTGTTTTCGGTGAGTCGTGGCGTATAACTTTTGAAATAATGATCCGATTGTGACCATTTATAGCTCATTGTGTAGGGAAATCATCTCGCTTCCGATCCGTAGGCCTCGACGTGGCCTTAAAAATAGTTTACTTGGTGAAATCCAACTTTGATTGAGGAGGAGGTGGTTCCGTCGTTACATCTCTTTCCTTTTATATAGTACTAGGGTAGGGTCTATATAGCTATATGTCTTCTAACGCTGTCTCTAAGCGTGACACGGCCCTGTGACAAGAGGGGACTCCCGGTGTGTTTTGTTTGTGTGTTTGTGGTTTAACGCCACACTCATTCCAGCTTTATGCTGGTGGTCTGTAAATATATCGAATCTGGACCAGACAATCCAGTGATCAACAACATGATCATTGACCTACACAAATAGGATACGATGGCAAATGTCAACCCGGTCAGCAAGCCTGGCCATCCCTTCTCAACAAGCATGGGTTGCTGAAGACCACTTCTAAATCGGATCTTCTCTGATTGTGTGAAGTATGTCCCGAACAACCCATGCGACTAAATAGATCGGGTGGTGACATAGGTGATGCTTGTCTGACTGACTGACTGACTGACTGAGGTTGGTTTTAAGCCGCTTTTAGCAATATTCCAGCAACATCACGGCGGGGGACACAAGAAATGGACTTCACACAATGTACCCATGTGGGGATTCGAAACCGGGTCTTCGGCGTGACGAGCCAACGCTTTAACCATTAGGCTACCCCACCGCCCCGTGATGCTTGTCATTGTATCTCCATTGAATATAACGATGCTCATGATGTCAATCACATGGTGTCTAGTCCACAGGGGAGTATCACAGACAGCAGAGAAAAAGATGGAATTATACACAAAACAAAAGCATCGTTCTTGACGTTATTGTCTCACATTTCAGCCCAAGTGCTGTAGCGCCTCCTTGTGGCGTGTCACGTGACTGTACTGGCAAGGACGACGGTGTTTACGTGGACGACGGGTGTCGCTCCTACTACACTTGCATGGGGGAAGTCTTCTTCGGTCACGACCTCTGTCCTGAAAGTAAGCACGAAGAGTTTCATACATTCTCCAACTGAGAAAATATTGATGAAGTAGGCCTTTGACCTTTTACCCTGTGCCCTGAGTTTCTGGATTTACGCTAATTGCCTATTGTTGCATTTACAGATAACACAAAATGGCGATTCAGTATTGCCGAGCTGTATCATTGGGACCACTTTCCACAATAAATTTATCTAAGACGAGTCTCCAATGCGCTAAAGACTTAAGATCCTTTACCAGCTGCTTGAATGTGTTTCATTTTACACTGACCCGTGAAGGTCCTGGTTAGAATATTGGCCTTCAGTAACCCATGCTTGTCGTAAGAGGCGAATAACGGGATCGGGTGGTCAGGCTCGCTGACTTGGTTGACACCTATCATCGGTTCCACATTGCGCAGATCGATGCTCATGTTGTTGATCACTGGATTGTCTGGTCCAGGCTTGATTATTTACAGACCGCCGCCATATAGCTGGAATATTGCTGAATGTGACGTAAAACTAAACTCACTCACTCACTCACTCATTTTACACTGACGATGTACTTGTCGTTCTTTGTTCACCCTACCAGAATCCAGTCTATCACATGCTCAGTGAAAACAGATCGCCATCATAGGAACTCTTTGTAACAGTGATTTTTAATTCTTTTTTCTACTTTTTTTAATGTCGATATGGTTTCAGTCTAATTTTGTGTGGGGTAGTAACTTGTCAATATAGAGTGATGAGGTACCAAAACGATTTTCTGAAAAACATTAATCCCGTTTTCTTTTTTTCGAACTATGGCCTGTAAAGCAGATTAAACGAATTTGTTTTTTATTGAAACAAACTCCGTCATTACCATTCCATCCCAAACCGTTGGACAATTACTATCACATACATATGGACATAGCTCTATATCTATACTATTCACACTTTGCTAAGGACAATCATGGATTCAACAGAAAACTATGATGTGTGGTCAAATTTGGTTTAAATATCTAAGCTTATTGTAAGCATGGACCCTAGGTTTCAGTATGTCATTGCATCTTGTGGACCCCATACCTGGTATTGACAGGTGTTGTGTACTTGTCAATGACTCGTTCCCTGATTTGCAAAATGGTTTATTGGTGCCATTAAAACAATTTTTATGGTTACTCATGTATCAAGTGCATTAGGTTAGATTAAAGTGAATATTTGCCTAAAGAGGGGTTACCATATTATTATTTACCCAATTTTAAATGGATACAATTTCAAATTATTAATCTACGTTTAAGTAAAGTTGTGATTTTTTTGTGATCTTAGCAAAGTGTGAGTAGTATAATAATCAGTACATTTGTCTATTTTACGCTTAATCCGCATTAACAAGGTTTTTTTTGTAGAAGGTATTTGGGCATTTTTCTTGTATATGTTGACGTAAACAATTAGCTTCTCTACAGTTGTAAGGTCATCTTTATTCAGGCTTCAGGCAAATTTATAGGCGCAATTGTAGTATAACATGTAATTTGAATGATATGAAATGACAAAAGCGAAGAAGTTGCCAGTTGGGTGTGGACTGGATCACTAGCCCTGTACAGCCAGGGTGTCACATGATTCTGACCACGCCCAGCGTGGTTGGTCATAATGCCTAAAGACTTACGATAAGTCATTATTTGAAAGCACATTCCCACACAAAGCCAATAACCGCTTTTTCTCAATGCTGTTATGCTATTTTCTAGATTATACCCCTTTCAAACAAAAAGGTAATTTGCGTCGCAAAGTAATCTACAGCAATCAACCTTTAATAGGGATACTTACCTTACAGTGATAAACAAAACGATTCTCAGATGTCAAATGTATATTTAGATAGAGTGAGTGAGTGAGTTTAGTTTTAAGCCGCACTGAGCAATATTCCAGCTATATGGCGGCGGTCTGTAATGAATCAAGTCTGGACCAGACAATCCAGTGATGAGCAACGATTTGCGCAATGGGAACCGATGACATGTGTCAACCAAGTCAGCGAGCCTGACCACCCGATCCCGTTAGTCGCCTCTTATGACAAGCATGGGTTAGTGACTATTCATTCTAACCCGGGCATTCACGGGTCCAACCTTTAATAGGGATACTTACAGTGATAAACAAAAGATTCTCTTATGTCAAATGTATATTTGAATAGAAAGACATATAGTAAACTAAAGTGATAACGAACTCAGAGGGACCAAACATTTAGTTCGGTACAACCGTAGTTCGTTATACGCATTTTGACACAATATTTGACAAATATGCACGTGGTAAGATCAAATAACTGTTCGTTATATCGGTCAGTTCGTTATAAGCGTGTGATTTATAAACGGAGTTTCCTGTGATGGCTAATTGTTTGATCGGCATTCCAGAAGTTGGTGACTCAAAAATGAAACATACAACTTTATAGATGACAAGTTCGTGTTTATTAATAGAGCGACGTCGCTCTATGCAATAAACAAGAAGTTGTCATCCACAAAATTATATGTTTAATTTTTGTATCTGATGACCCTTATCGAAAATTAAGTGATATATTGCACTGCTTATCTCTGGTCTAATTTTGTCATGCTATCTTCAGGCCTCGTCTACAACCAGGAACTGAAGACCTGCGACTGGCCGAACCACGTGGCACCACCTTGCGGGACGAGACACTGATGATATTCAGAGTTACCTCGGATTTTTAAACTAGGACGAAGACTTTCGAATGTCTCGGCTTCTTTTGTTAGCACTGCCCAGTTCTAATCTGTGCACATGCTCAAAGACACGACAGTGTTGCGATAACGGGAAGACATAAGATAAGAGTACAGACTTACTTGCAAAAGAATTTTGACATGCCTTATCTTCCAGCGAGGTCATCGAGATCTTGCACTGTAGATACTTATTATGCAACGACGAGGTGATGGTATTTGTAATTTGTCGTTCTAATAAATATTTTTGTTATTTTATATTTGATACTTTGGTAAGACAAATTACCTCCATAGGTCGTTTGGCAACATCGTGTTATCCTGACACTATGGCAGTTGTAACATGACGTGGAAGTTTCACACAGTTGACCTTCTTCCCATCTCAGACTGCAGACTGGGTTAGTCTCTTTAGTCAGTGAGTGAGTAATTTTAGTTTTTCGCCGCTTTAAGCAACATTCCAGCAATATCACAGCGGGAACACCAGAAATGGGTTTAACTCTTTGTAGCCATGTGGGAATCGAACCCGGGTCTTCGGCGTGATGAGCGGACGCTTTGACCATCAGGCTACACCACTGCCCCGAATTACCTTAAGAATAAGTGTGGGTGATGTTGTGGATTAGACCTACACTGGATTCCAGTGATTTGTTGCACAGTTTGCTTGGTGTCTGGTTCAGGATATACCGTACATATAGTATGACAAGCACTAAATACCAGAAAATGGCCAACAACATATCTTCTGATTTACATTATATTTCTGGAGATTACGGAGCGCAGTCAATCAGCTGGAAAATGACTGCAGGGCGTTTTTTTTAAAACTGGTTTGTAACACCAAACCAACATCGTAACCTTTTTGCCATTGTTGCCTTGACGACATAACATGGCGTGAGGGGAGGGTAACGTCGTAAATCTACCGGGAGGAAATCCTCCTGAAAATGGCAGCCTGACCTACGGCAAGAAGCGCAAGCGCTTCAGGACAGATAAACCAGTCTACGTCATGGACTGTTTTATGTTTTATCATGGTGCATGGGCGTCCTACCTTGATCCTATCTGCGGCCGGAACCACACTGACCTCCGATAACACTGAGCATGTGACAAAGTCGACCGAGTGCATGTCTAGGCAAAAGATAAGTGTCTGTGTCCTTCCCACCAGTTCGCCATTCTCCTTCGTCTGGTTCAACATGCTTTGTCTGGTGCTGCTAGCTCTCCTTCCGACAGGTGAGTGAGTGGGTTGGGTGAATGAGTGAGTGAGTGAGCGAGTGAGTATGCGTGTGGGTAAGCGAGTGTGTGAGCGAGTGAGTGCGTTTGTGTGCGAGCGTGTGTGCGTGTGGATGCGTGAGTGAGTGATGCCTCACATAGAGACAGTACAATCTGAGTCGATTCTTGTACCTTTTAAAAGCCATCTTCTTGTAACGCCCTCTGGTATAACGCTGCTCGGGATCAAACCCTTTCCACCTTCCGAACAGACACTCTATCTTCTAAACCATGGAGGAAATTAATTATTACGTAGAGGGTGTTCAAACGTTAACCGCTTCTATGTGAGTCTAAGACCTTGGTGTTGACAAACCTAGAAACATAATCAAAGCGAATTTGAGATTCGAACCCAGGACCATGAGGATCTGGTATCCCCCGGCCCCTTATGTATATGTCGACAACTATCTATAGACTGCTGTGCTTCAAGAATATTTTGAAATCCCTTTCCGTGTTTGACATCCGCGTTATAACTAGCAATGGTAATGATCTGTACAGAAAAACAGGATGCCATAACTTCGTTTGTAATGACCGCTGGATGCCTACCCTTAAAAGAGGAATCTCAGGTTTTTCGTGCATCATGTGATATACTGCCCTCTTAACTGCCCACGTCCGTGTTCGTGAAATATACACGGACATCCACTCATATATTACAGGTAACGATTGTCATGTCGAGAGCATTTTAAAACACATCCTTGTGAATCGTGGTTGACCGGCCATCTTGAATGGTACACGAGGACTTGGTGAAAATTCCAGCCTACTAAACAACTCGTGATATTCAATGCTACGGAATTCTTTTAGGGCCATTCGATTCTTTATTTTTATATTGAAATAACATATTATCTTGAAATATCAACTTATTAGCTTTAAATTTCAAGATCGTAACTCCCAATTTCAACATATTATTTTCAAAATTTAAGACAATGATCTTGGACAAATTCTTATCTTGAAATTTCAAAATTATTGCCTTGAAATTTCAACTTAATATGCATCTTGAAATTTCACCTTAGTATCTTGAAATCTTCAAGAAGAAGTATTGAATAACGAATGGCCCTAAAAGACTTCCATATAATACACAGTTTCATTTTATTCACTGCAACTTAATGCTTGTTGCAGCGTTTGCGATAGACTGCGCCGCCGAGGGTGATGGAGTTCACGAGATGGGATGTCGCGCCTTTGTCACTTGTAATGCTGGAGTTGCCACGATAACGGAATGTAAAGGCAACACGGTCTATGACGGAATCACAAAGACATGCCGCGAGTAAAGTATATTTTTACTGATGACATGTTTTATTGTTTGATGTCAAGTCCGGGGGTACTTTACACCACACCCTTGATTATCTGTTCTATTGTGATTAATCGAGGGTTATCCGTTCTATTGTGATTATTCGAGGCTTATCCGTTCTGTTGTGATTATTCGAGGGTTATGCGTTTTATTGTGATTAATCGAGGGTTATCCGTTCTATTGTGATTAATCGAGGGTTATCCGATCTATTGTGAATAATCGAGGGTTATCCATTCTATTGTGATTAATCGAGGGTTATCCGTTCTATTGTGATTAATCGAGGGTTATCCGTTCTATTGTGATTAATCGAGGGTTATCCGTTCTATTGTGATTAATCGAGGGTTATCCGTTCTATTGTGATTAATCGAGCGTTATCCATTCTATTGTGATTAATCGAGGGTTATCCATTCTTTTGTGATTAAGCGAGGGTTATCCGTTCTATTGTGATTATTCGAGGGTTATCCGTTCTATTGTGATTAATCGAGGGTTATCCGAGATGTTCGTGATCTAACATAAAGTAGGTCAGATTTTAAAAAAGAATATAAGTTATGCATATGGTACAAGGGTTATCCGATCTATTGTAATGATTAATCGAGGGTTATCCATTCTATTGTGATTAATCGAGGTTATCCGTTCTTTTGTGATTAATCGAGGTTATCCGTTCTATTGTGATGCTCCAGCGTTTGTTCCTCCAGTCAAACCTGGAGGTACCATTCCTCACGCCCAGGAGTATTCGGTCTGTTGTCATTAATACAGCGCTAATTTACCAGTGAAGATCCAGGTTAGAATTGGTCTTCACTAACCCATGCTTGTCGTAAGAGGCGACTAACGGGATCGGGTGGTCAGGCTCGCTGAC